GGGCCTTCTGTGGCCTGCTGAATCGCCTGGGCATACAGTATTCAGCTAATCAATAGTTATTGGATGAATGTTTGAGGATCGATCTATGGATATCAGTCTCAGAATACCCTGCCGACAGACTTGCTAGAGGACTGGATTAGCTTCATGCTACGTCCTTCATGAGCCCTTTCTGACTCCCAAATAAAGTGACTCTCCCTTCTGTACGTTCTTTTCAAACTCAGTCGTCACCATTCATATGGCCTTGACTTTTAGCAGTTTGAGTTTCAGTCAACTTGCGTTCATCTCTCTCCTGTTAGGAGCTGTTCCTGGACAGCAATCACTCAGCCAGATGCCAGCAAATGATTAGAAAACAAGGAATGGGTCCTTCTCCTGCCTTGCTTCTCTTTAATGGAAAGGTTTGGGGGCTATTTCGGTTATGGTAGCTCTCCACGGTGGGAACCTGTCATATCCAGTACAGTCTGAGCTGCTGGCTAACAGTTTGGGTGGGGTATAATATGATGCAGATCTCAAAGAACTTTTACTATCTGCTTAAATATGTTCACTATAATGTCAGGTATCCTTTAGAATTAATTTTAGAAGTCTTCTTGGAAGTCAGTGATAAAAAGATAACCCAACTTAAAAATCGACAAAGGATTTAAATGAACATTTCCCCAAAGAAAATACACAAATGGCCAATGAGGCAAAAGAAAAGATCATTAGTTATTAGGGAAATGCAAATAAAAACCAAAACAAGGTTCCAGTTCCCATCCACTAGGATGCCTATGATCAAAAAGACAAGCCATAAAAAGTGTTGGTGAAGATGTGCAGGCATTATAGCCTTTATACTTAGCTGGTAGGAACATAAAATGGTGTAGCCACTGTGGAAAACTGGAAGTTTCTCAGAAATTCAAATAGTTACTCCATGAACCAGTAATCCCACTCTTAGATAAATATCCAAGAGAATTGAAAACATATGTCCACACAATAATTTGTACACATATGTTGATAGCAGCATTATTATAATAGCCAAAAAAAATGGCAAGAACCCAAATGTCCATCGATTGCTAAATGGATAAACAAAAGGTAGTCTATCCATTCCTTTTGGCCAGTAAATGAAGTACTGATTTATGCTACAACATGGGTGAGCCTTGAAAACATTATGCGAAGTGAAAGAAGCCAGACACAAAGACCACTTATCATATGATTCCCTTTATATGAAATTTGCAGAATAGGCAGATCCATAGAGACAGAAATTAATTAGTGGTTTCCAGGGACGGAGAGGAGTGGAGAGTGTTCTGGAATTAGATAGTGGTGATGGTTGCACAACTTTGTAAATATGCTGAAAACACTTTTAAAAGGTGAATTTTAAGGTATGTGGATTCTATCTCAGTGAAGCTGTTATCTTTAAATAACTGAACACTTATTAAAAGTGACTATGTGGTTAGCTCCTTCATATTCAAATCCATTATGGAAAAAGAAAACCAAAACCCACCCACAAATAAAACAGTTGAATAGAATCAATTACCATTTTGACAACTATCCACCGTGCAGTGCAGACAACACAGGAAGTCACCTTTTGGGTAAAGATAAACCAGAAGTCTCTTTCTTGGGGAAATTATATGGAAGGAATCAAGTGATTGTTGGCGATAGGCTGCTATCGGTTTCCTTTCCAGCAGTGACTATCGGAGTGGACAGCATGCTGGCTACTTCTGGTGTCCAAGAAGTCACTTGGACCATTTATTCTTACCAGAAACAAGAACTTCTTAAAAAAAAAAAAGACCTAGAATCTGAAAACCTCAAGGCACGTTCAATACCCACAAAATATCCTTAAAAACAAAACAAACTTTTCATTACGGAAAATATCAAACAATAGGCTGAAACCCATAAATTCATCCCAGTTCTAACCTTTATCGGCTGCCCACCAGTCTCCTTTCACCCCCTGCCCCATTTACCTCTGTCCTCCATAATGTTTTGAGCAAAGCTCATATATCATCATTTTACCCATAAATATCTCAGTGTGTACCTCTAAAAGTGACTCTTACAAAAAAACATAAAATATATTCAAATTTCCCTACTATCTTACAAACTTTTTATGTAACAGTTTGTATAATGTCCTTTTTTGTTGTTATCTCCATTCTCCATGGAAACATGGGAACATGAATAGCAATTACTACTATTTACGGGAGCAGCTATTGTATGCCAGACAGTCTACTGGGGGCTTTCCGCATACTATCCGATGTAATTCTTGCATCAGTCACAAGGACCTAGCCATTATCACCACCCATGCCCCATCCCCCAGCTTCAGGAGGTTAAGTGACTCAGCCAAGGGTCAAGCTGGCTAACCCAATCTCTGGTTCCCATCATGATTCTCCCTGGCCTGTCTTTAATTTAGGGCTGTGCTGTCCAGCATTGTAGTCACTAGCTGCATGTGGCTACTGGACACAGTAGTGAAAAGTTAGCTACTGTGGGAACAAAGCTGGGGGGATTATGCTCCCTGACTTCAAGCTACTCTACAAAGCCACAGTAATCAAAACAGTATGGTACTGGGATAAGAACAGGCCCATGGATCAATGAAACAGAATAGTGAGTCCAGAAATGAGCCCACGCATATATGGCCAACTAATGTATGATAGAGGAGCCATGAATATACAACGGGGAAAAGACAGCCTCTTCAATAACTGGTGTTGGGAACACTGGACAGACACATGCAAGAGACTGAAACTGGACTACTGTCTAACTCTATACACAAAAGTAAACTTGAAATGGATCAAATATCTAAACATAAGATGTGGAACCATAAAACTCTTAGAAGAAATCATAGGCAAAAATCTCTTGAACGTAAGTATGGGCAATTTTTTTCTGGAGGCACCTCCCCAGGTAAGGGAAACAAAATCAGAAGTGAAAGGTAGGAATACATCAAACTGAAAGGAAAGGACACCATCACAGAAGAAAAAATCAACCTACAGTATGGGAGAATATATTCATAAACGATTTATCCAGTAAGGGGTTAACATCCAAACTATATAAAGAACTCAGAAGGCACAACACCAAAAAAACAAATAACCCAATTAAAAAATGGGTGGAGGACCTGAACAGACATTTTTCTAAAGAAGAAATACACATGGTCAACAGGCACATGAAAAGATGCTCTGCATCACTAATCATCAGGGAAATGCAAATCAAAACCACAGTGAGATATCACCTCACACCAGTCAGAATGGCCACCATTCAAAAGACAAGAAATAACAAATGTTGGTGAGGATGTGGAGAAATGGGAGCCCTCCTACACTGTTGGTGGGAATGTAAATTGCTGCAGCCACTATGGAAAGCAATATGGAGGTTCCTCAAAAAACTAAAAATAGAAATACCATACAACCCAGTAATTCCACTCCTAGAAATTTGCCCGAAGAAAACAAAATCCCTGATTCAAAAAGATATATGCACTCTTATGTTTATTGCTGCATTATTTACAAAATCAAGATATGGAAGCAACCAAAGTATCCATCAATAGATGAATAGATAAAGAAGATGTGGTACATACACAGTAGAATATTATTCAGCCATAAAAAGAAACAAATCTTGCCATTTGCAACAACATGGATGTGCCTAGAGGGTATTATGCTAAGTGAAATGGGCCAGGCAGAGAAAGAGAAATACCATATGATTTCATTTATTTGTGGAATATAAAAACAAAATAAAACAAAATGAATAAAATAGTAGTAGACTCATAGACACTGAGAAGTGACTGGTGTTTACCATGGGGGAGGGGTTGGGATGGGTGGGTGGGGAGGGTAAGGAGGCTAAAGGGGCACAAAAATTCTCAATCATAGTGTAAGTTGGTCATGGGGATGGTAGTACAGCATGGGGAATATATCTAATGATAGTAACTGCACTAGCTGGGATGAGGGTTTAATAATGTGGGTAACTGGTGAACTAGAGTGTCATATACTTGAAACCAATATAAGATTGTATATTAACTATACTTCAATAAAAAGTAGCTAATGTGCCTAGCCCAATTCAAAATTTGCTGTAAGATACACAAAGAATTTCAGACTAGCAGGCAAAAAAAAATATGTAAGCTATCTCACTACTAATTTTTATATTGAAATTATCATATTTTGGATATATTGGATTAAATAAAATGTATTATTAAAATAGTTATCCTCTTTGCCTTTTTTCAATTGTGGCAAAATACACATAACATAAAATTGGCCATCAGATTGTTGTGCAACCAATCTCCAGAAATATTTTCATCTTGCAAAACTGCAACTCTATAACCATTAAACAAAAACTCCCCATTTCCCTCTCCCCACAATCCCTGGCACCCACTATTCTACTTTCTGTCTCTTTGTATTCGACTACTCTAGGTGACTCATATACGTAGAATCATAAATATTTGTACTTTTGTGACTGGTTTATTTTTTTATTTAAAAAATGTTTATTTATTTTTAAATTAATTAATTTATTTTTATTTATGTTTACTAGGATCTCCCCTACCCCAAGTCCCCCCCGACAAACCCCATTACAGTGTGACTGGTTTATTTTACTTAGCATAGTGTCTTCAAGGTTCAACCATGTTGTAGCATGTTCAGAATTTTCTTCCTTTTTAAGCTGAATAATATTCCGGTGAATGTATACACCACGCTTTGTTTGTCCATTTATCCACTGTTAGACACTTGGGTTGTTTCCATCATTTGCCTATAGCGAATAATGCTGCTATGAACATGGGTGTACAGATATTTTCCCAAGACCCTGTTTTCAATTCTTTTGGGTGTATACTCAGAGTGCAATTGCCAGGTAATACAGCAATTCTATTTTTAAGTTTTTGAGGAATCATCATACTGTTTTCCATAGCTGCTGCACCGTTTTACCTTCCCACCAATGGTGCAATTTCACCACATTCTTGCTGAAACTTTTCTTTCTTTCTTCTTCCCTTTTTTTTTTTTTTAAATAATAGCCATCCTGATAGTGGGAAGCTCACCTTTTTAAACGTGAGTATTCGAAAATACGTGGCTCACATTTATGGCACTTTATATTTCCCCTGGACAGCAGTACTAAGAGAGGATGGAAAAGAAAGATAAAAATTTCTCAGACTCCGCAGCAGAGAGAAGGAGTCACGTGACATCGTTCTGGCCAATGAGGTGTGAGCAGAAGCCCGCAGGTGCCACCTTGCTCCTTCCTCCTTCTTCCTGCCTGACACGCAGAGTTGGGGCCCAGCCATCTTGCAAACATGAAGTGACTCAAACGAGGCTTCCCTAAGGGTGGTGGGCAGTCTGATGAGGGGGTGTGAGGTCCCTGATAGCTACTGCTGCAGCCCCTTATTATGCATCTCCACACCACTTACCGTGTGAGACCAAGAAGTCCTTCTCTCTAAACTACCCTTAGCCTCTTATGTGATTGTTAGTTGCAGCCGAACATCTCTAATGGGATCACTGGACTGTGGGGCAGCTGGGACTTGAGCACGTCTGTCCTCCACAGCCTGTGCTCTCTCCACCTCCACCTGCCACTGCCTCCCAAGAGTTATCCCCAGACCAAAGTGATTCGAAGCCAAATGGTGAACAAATGTCAATCGCAGGGACTACATTTACTTTACATACAGATATTTGCAGTTAGGATGTCTGTTGCTGATTGTTTAAAGTAGAAAAACCTAGATGGTCAACAGTTGATGATTCCAGAAATTACATAAAGCCACTGACTTTTTTAGAAAACTGTTTTATGTCAGGGAAAGGTATTTAGGCTGTACTATGAAAAACGTAGGTCACCAGGTAGTATGATTCCAATTTTGTAAAAGAAAGTGTGTGTGCAAATAACCAAAATGTAGAGTGGTAGAATTATGCATAAGGTTGTTTTCTCATGTAGACTTTTCCTAAAGAATCCAAGATTTCAAACTAAGTGTGTATTTGTAATTAGGAAAAATAAAGCAACACATTAAAAAAAAAAAAAAAACCCCAGCATCAAGAGGACTAGATCATTTCTTCGTCAGGAATCTGGTGTGCCTTCATTGGTCCTTCCCGAGGCTTACCAAGAGTTGGAGGAGAGGGTGTGGAGCTGGACAGGGGTGTCGGGAGGAGGAGGGGGCTGCTAAATGAGAGCTCCTGAGACACAGATCCTCAGATGCTTCCGCTGCACCACCTGCTTGGGCTTCCCTGGGAGCCTGAAAGCCTGGTGTTTGCCCTCTGCTCCCAGGTTCTAGGTGAGGTTCCAGGGTTAGCAGCTTCTGGTGCTGGCAGTCCACTGTCCGTGATTAAAATGCACCGTCCACCTGACACGGTTGTAGAATGGGAAGGCAATTCTTCCCTCAAATGGGCTGCGGTCGAGGCTGCTCAAACAACCTGCGTTTTGTTCCGCTTTGATTCAGCCTAATGCGCTGGTAAAAGGGTCCGTTCCTGAGATGTTTCATACTTAATTACGTATGAATATGGGAGAGAGAGGAGGCCCCTAACAACTTGCTTGGCGGTTGATTAAGTATCCAAACGGGCGATCAATAATTTACTAAAATATTTAAAATACCTCCTGGCTTCCTGTGATGGGAAGAACATGGCTCACGTGTGGTCCTCTGTTGACTGCTCTGCAGGTGATGGTGCCCCGGCCTTTCTGGTGTCTGTCCTGAAGCCTGGAAACTTCTGCCCACTCTCTCCATAGCTGGAAGAGTGGCTTTCTCAAACCTAGATCCAATCACATCACAGCCCCACTTAAAACTGTTTATTGCACTTCCCTACCTCAGCCCTGGCTCCCACCCCGCCGCACCTGGGGAGCCCCTGGTCACCTTGGCAGGTTTGTCCAGCTTCCCTTCTGCAGAAGGAGGCCCTGACCACCCTCTCTCTCTGAGGACTTCTGAGTTCTCTGTGCAGGGGGCAGGAATCCTGGTGCAGGGGCTGCAATCGGTGTTAACAAGTGATTCCCTCCCCTCCTCCTCCTTGAATTAACAGCAAGATGCTCCTAACCTTACACTCCTGGGTTGTTAGTGCTGGAGGGGATCCCACTTCCTTATTCTCTACAGCTGGGGTTCTGAAGGGTTCATCCATTTGCCTGAGGGACACTGGTCCGGGGCTGAGACCCCAGTCGAGGCTGATGTTCTCGTCTCCGGGATCTGCTTGGTCCTTGGGGTCACTTCCGCCATCACCATCATCGTGTCAAAATCACGCTGGCCCAGCTAAGAGGAAAACAGGAGCAAGGGGAGGTTCAGAAGAGACCAAAAGAGGATTCTTTGCATATTTGCTTTAAATGAACTACAATAAACCTGATGCTAAGGAATTTAAAAATGGTTGATGCACCGAGCCTTAAACAGTTGAGTGTGGAGGAACATAGGATCCACTTCAGATATTTTCAGTGATATTTACTGGGCTGGACTGGGTTTAGTTTTGCCATTGGCTCCCCAGCTGTTCAGCAAAACGTCGAGCACATTCAGTATCTGTATTCATTGAACGGCTAACTCGAATACCTACTATGTCCCCAGAACTGTGTGCTGCCTCAGTTGAATCCTCAGAGCAACCCCGAAGGTCTTAAGCTTTATGCCACAATCATTACAACAGGCCACTTAGTTACATTGTGGTTTATCCATGGCAGATTTGGTTTTAAATCTGTCTGGTGACTTTCTGAGCAACCGTCCAATGCAGCGTTCTGCATGTAGTGAATCCTTAATAATTATTAATTGATGAGGGTGCTTTCTCAGTCTGAATGCTTAAAACCACATGCTCTCTGAATATGATAGGAGTTGCAGCATATTTTAATTAAATACTGACAACTTTAATTCTGATTGCTCATTCTAATACTCTTGAGCTGATAGCACCAAGCTAATGGCTTGTTCATTCTGGAAGATATTAGCAGTAGGGGGCTGCTTTTTACCCAAACATAAGATCATAATAATTAAAATCTGATATTGCTTGAAATGAACTCCTTTTAAAGTAATTTATATCCTACAAACACACACAGATGCAAGCATGTATGTGCCAACATTCTCAAGGATTTACAACACCTTAGAGAAACTCTGTCCGTTCCTTTCCAAAATGAAAAGTTTTCTATTGACGTGATGAAAGACTCCTTACTAGGTTCAGGGGAAATGTGTATTTCCACTGATCAATTTCTGAGTTTCCCAGAAGAGGGGAGCCAGAGAGAAATCCTGGAAACTAATGACTGTGGGAGCAGAGTGTATTTGTACTTTATTGTACCAATCAGTGTCTAAACCACTGAATCAGAGAATGAGACAAAGGAAAATCTTAGTGTGTGTGTGGCTGGGGGTGGGAGGTGGGGCAGGAGGGGGGCTGAGCAGGAGGGGAGATGATATCCGAGTACACAAAGAGATGAAATAATTTGGAGACAGGATCCAATAAAGCAAATATAACATATTGCGTATAACTCATTGCTTCCATAGACTTACAATGAGCATCTACTGCGCCCTAGGCATCAGAGCCCTGATGGTTACCAGACAGCTGTGTGCCACACTCCCAAGGAGCTAGCCTTAGAGCACTCTTCAAACCAGAGGTCCCTCTCTGGGCTTTAGGGGAGGCTATGAACCCCCTGCAATTGTACGCAAAACCTCATGTTTATGGGTAAATATGGGTGTCGGTAGAAATAAACTCGTACATTTTTTTTCCTGGGGACATAGTATATAGCAGGGGTCACGTTCTCTAAGCCTTCAGGAATCCAAAAAGGTAAGTAAACATGATAGTAGAGTCTGCCTTCTCTGATCTTCCCCAAGAAATGATGAAAAGCAAGCCAAAACCAAAGGAAACCAACAAACACGGTTACTTTCCTTTATTTTGTTAAGTATTATCTCCAAAAATCTTAAGGAGATAAAAAGGCCATCGAAAGAGAGTGACTTAGAGGACAGAGCTAACTGACACGTTCTTAGCAGCAGCGTTGTGTCATTAGAGATGATTTGAACTAATGGACTTATTGCTGATTCTTGCTTGATTCTGCTCAGTTCTCAAAGCGGGGGGTTCAAGCACACATCACAGACCCATCACAAACTTTCCCAGCACATTCTCCTGACAGCTCGGATCTTCTGAATGTTTATTATTTGCCAAGCTTTATTTCAAAAGCTTTGCCTGCAAGGTTTTGGTAAATCTCACAGCTATTTTGTAAAGCTAGGTATTATTACTAGTCCTATTTTACAGATGAGGAGAATAAGGCTCACTGAGTTTCAATAACTTGTTTAAAGTTCCATGGTTAGAAATTTCCCTCTATTTATCCCTCTTCCCTGGAAAAAGCTATGAATGGCAACACTGTAAGGTGATATAGATGCCAGGAAGTGAAAGCAACAGGGAAACACCTTTCTTTCTGGTGAGACTATAATTTAAATAGTTTTTACATTTAAACATTTACAGAGAGCAACAGCAGGGCCCAGTTTTTGAGCAGAATTTATCTTTACTGTTCCAGAACTAGAAGATTTGAGTTGAGGTGGTGTGAGGGTCGGGGGAGTGAAGCTGGGGATCATTGTGGAAATTATCAAAAAAGTGGGTTTGAGATGAACTCCATAATTTCAAAGTCCTGGTTAGCATAGCCTGGCAGAACTGAAGACTTTTTGTACCATCCAGGCCGTGTTTACACTTCCCATGCCCTTTATCAATGGCCATTTAAAACAACATATTTTGACATAATTTCAGACTTCCAGTTGCAAGAATATACAAATAATTCCTGTATACCTTTTGCCCAGATTCCACAACTGTTAATATTTTGCCATAGTTGTTTTGTCCTTCTTTCTCTAAATAAGGACATCCAAACTATTCTTTTTCATGTAGATGTAATGATGTTTCTTTATCTCTTCAGGGCACATTTCCCCCAAACAAGGATGTCCTCTTCATAACCACAGTACAATGATCCAAAATCATGAAATCATTACCAATAAACCACTGTGAACATTGCTACAGACCTTATTTAGATTTCATTGTTTCCCTCATGTCAGCAAAAGAAAACCCCAGATGGTGCTTTGTGCTCAGTCCTTTGTCTTTCACGACAGGTGTGTTGTGTCAGTTATTTTTCCCAGTGTCTCTCGGTTTGTCTGATGTCCTGATCAGATCTTGGTTTTGCATTTTGGCGCGACCATCACAGAAGTCATATTGCCCCTTCCTCGATGCATTGTATCAGTAGGTGGCTTTGTCCTACGCAGGCGATGATGACCTTGGTCTCTTGCTAGGGTGGTGTCTGCTAGATTTCTCCACTATGAAGTCACTACACCCTCCCCTTTTACATCACTGAATTTTTAAAAATACGGTAAATATATGGTAAAGTATACGTAACATAAAAGTTACCATTTAAATCCATTTTTAAGTGTTCAGTTCTGCAGCACTAAGTGCATTCACATTCTTAGACAACCATCACCACCACCCATTGACCTTTTTCATTTTCCCCAAATGAAACTCTGTCTGCATTATGTAGTAACTCTTCATTCCCTCCTGCTCGAAGCCCTTGTACCCACCATTCTACTCTCTCTCTCTATGAATTTGACTCCTCTAGGGACCTCATGGAATGGAGTCATACAGGGTTTGTCCTTTCGTGTCTGGCTTATTTCACTTAGCGTAATGTCTTGTACACCCATGTGGTAGCAGGTGCTGGAATTTCCTTCTTTTTTAAGGCTGGGATAAATATTTCCTTGTATTTATCTACCATATGTTGTTCATGAATTCATCCCACAATGGACACTTGGGTTGCTTCCACCCTTTGGCGACCGCGAAAAGGGCTGCTGGGAACTTAGGTGCAGACGTTACCTGCTCCAGCCTCTGCTTTCCCTTCTTGGGAGCACATAACCGGAAGTGAAATTGCGGCATCATTGCTTTTCCCTTGTTAACTAATGAGTTTCTTTGTGGGATGGTACTCTGAGGCTATGTAAATATCCTATTCTCACAGTTTCACCAACTAGTTTTAGCATCCCTGATTCCTGTCGGAATCAATTATTACTCTAATGGTCACCAAAAGGTAATTTTCTTTATGTCATTCTTGCTACATGTATTAGTCGTCATTCCTCTGTAGGGAAGAGATTTCCCTTCTCCCTCATTCATTTGCGAATGTGGTTTCATTTTATTCAATGGGTTCTGATCCTTTACTCCACTGACACTTCATTGCTCTGAACAATTCTTTTCTATATGGTTCCTAAGAGCGCAAGTTTGGGGAATAGCGGGATCTTTCTACATTTCCTTGTCACCATTAAGAAGGCCGAGAGGGCCGCCGGACTGCTCCAAGCGCAGAGGACGGCTTTCCCGCCCACGCATCAGTCGGAGAGAAAAGCCTCTTACCGGGAGCCGGGCCCAAACCACCTGGGCGACCCCGCCCCGGGAGAACTACATTTCCCAGAGGCCTTCGAGGGGCTGCGTCATCACTGAGCGCGGCCTTTTGCTCGCGAAGCCGGCTTTGGGGGCCGCGCTGTGGCAGCGGCAACATGGCGGACCTGCTAAGTGTCGGCGTGAACCTGGAGGCCTTTGCCCAGGCTATCAGTGCCGTTCAGGCGCTGCGCTCCAGCGTGAGCAGGGTGTTCGACTGCCTGAAGGACGGCATGCGGAACAAGGAGACGCTGGAGGGCCGGGAGAAGGCCTTCATTGCGCATTTCCAGGACAACTTGCACTCGGTCAACCGGGACCTCAAGTAGGTACCGGCTGGAGGGCCGGGGTCGGGGACCAGCCCGGCCTCCCGCGTCCCGACTCCGCGCGAGGCTTCCTCGTTAGGGGCTGCTCTCCCCTTGCCATGCTCCCTGGCTGCCTCCGTGCCCTCTCCAAGCCCCTGCCTTACCCTCGGGGACACCTCACCCCCCGCCCCCGCCCTTTCATCTCCCTGGTCCTGACCTCCGAGTCCCGGCCGCCTCCCGCCGCACCGGACCTCGTGTGCGGCCGCTCCGTCCCCGACGAGGAGACATGCTCCTCCCATGAGCTTCCACCTCTCATCCCCGCCCGGCAGGTTTCTCACCTGTAGGGCCTCTTGTGCCCCACCAGGTCGGATCAAATATTACCAAACGGGGCCTGCTCAGCGCTGCCCCAAATCCAAGTGCATTCCATCCGATCAGCCCCAGTTCCGCCCTCCGGAACCTGGAATTCGTCAGTAGCCGTGTACCCAACCTCCAAACACGACAAAACAGGCCTTGATCTGTCTTTGCCTTCCCCTGCCCGCTCCAGAACCACCTGCTCGTTTTTGCCTTGCTACTCTTCACGTCTTCGTTCAGTTCCTTGCTCTAGAGAGAGCTAAATCTCGGGGATACCTGGCCAATACGGTGCCTCCCCCGCCCCCATAGTAATTTGTGGCCCTTTAGGGTAGGATTGCACATTTCTCTTTCTTACAAGTTACCTCCTTTACTTCTACTTTGTAAGTGTTGTGTACAATTAAGTGTGTGTGTGGGGGGGATGTTCGTAAACTGCCTGGCACATAGTGGGCACTCCTGGAAGGGTTAGATCCTGAACTTGCCTTCCCTTCTTTAAGAGAGTCAGTCCTTCCCAGGGAAGTTAGGATTTCAGGACTTTTGCCTTTTACCCCTCAGAACTGACCTTAGCAGGGAAAGATGTTTTGGTGAGGTAGTCATCGCAGGATTCCTGGACTGGTTGATTTTTTTTTAAATCCCCGCCCTCAACTTGGTCTCTTTAGCAACCAGATGGAAGGAGGAGGTAACACGGAGGAGGAGGTGGTGACCAAATGATGGGTGCCTCTTTTAATTTTTTCTCCCTAAGTAGTTGCCATTCTTTTTTGAGGGAAAGCCAGGAAATGGCACACCCCTCCTCAACTCCCACATCTACCGTGCTGTTCCCTGGCGCTGTGCCAGTGAATACTTTCCCTGCGAGAGGGGAGGCAGGCTCGTTCTTTCCTCTCTTCTCTTTCGTCTCCGATCTGCTTCCCTTGGTAATATTCAGGATGTTGTAACCCTTCATCATTTTAGAAAGTTCAAGAATATTTACATTACCATTTGCCTTCTTAAATCTTTATACAGCAGTGCCAAGAAGAAGGTGGCTGAAGATTCCAGAATGAATGTGGCACGAGAAGCTGTTCCTAGAGAGTCTTTAGTTGACAGTTTGGGACTGGCCCCTCAGACGTGCTCCTGGAAGGGACTTGTGCTGCTGGCTTGCTTTCCCAAGCTCCTCTGGAGTTTTCCTGCTAGACTGAAGTGTGTTTGTTTGACGCGGCCCCCTCGGTGGTGGCTTCCCATTCCATTCGTTCATTTATTTCTTCTTTGTTTTGTTAAGTTTTGCCATCTGTGAAGTGCCACGTACAAATCTATCCCTATGTGAATGATAAATAATCATCATTTATTCAGGTACTTGCTGTTCTGCCAGATGTAATGATCTGTACGTGGGTCTGAAAACTTAGTGAGAAGCAGTGTTATACCACATTTCAAAATTTCAGGAAGTCTTCTCCCCTCCCTGCAGAGGATAATTTGAGTTGTTAAGTCCCAATTTTAGAGTCTTATTGATTCCCGTACTCTTCTTTTCTCCTTGAGAATAGCACTAGAGAGCTTGGTTTTAAAATAAGATAAGCTCACAGCCTAATCTTAATCTTCCAGAAAGTGTTTCTTCTTAAGGGACTTCCAGTGGACGGTTTGAAGAACAGCCTTTGGCCAGCGGAGTTAGCTGAACACGTGTTTTAGCAGACTCAGGTTTATTTGCTTTATGTATTTATTTTTCAGTGAGCTGGAACGTCTGAGCAATCTGGTCGGCAAACCGTCTGAGAACCATCCTCTCCATAACAGCGGCCTGTTAAGCCTGGATCCTGTGCAGGACAAAACCCCTCTCTATAGTCAGCTCCTTCAGGCGTATAAATGGTCCAACAAGGTAAGGGAGACATATTAGAAATGGAGCGAATATAGGAAAAGCCAAGTTCCCTTACATCTCCTAAATGCAGAAGGTGAGGGTGTTTGTATCTTCTTTGTTCTTGATTTAGCAGGGGCTTACAGAGTTGCAAGTTGTAGAATTCCCCTCTGAGTTGTTTTGTAGCCCTTTGGAGTCTTTGAGGATTAATCATAATGCTCAGTTAATTAAATTTTTTAGTAAGTTCTAAGTCAGGGGTATTTAGCCTGGAGACTGGGTGTAGGGAACAGCATATTTATGATCGGCAGCATGTTGTGGCCTGTGTATCTTTTTCTGGGGAAGACTTCCTGGCTTTGGTCAGATTCTCAGAGGAGTCCGTGACCGCCAGGAAGGTAAGGTCTGGTGGTCTAAGTGATTGGCACTCGCCCGGCTTATGGTGCCTGTACTGTCCGTCCTCGTGCTGTTGCTGGAAGAACATCAGGAGATGTTAGATTCCTCTCTACTCTCTAATCACTTTAGACCCCTTCTGAGGGAGATCACTCTAAACTTGCTCCGCAGAACTTGCTATTCGTGGTTCCCTCCAGCACGCAGGCCTGCGGTGTAGACCCTCGGATAGCTGTAAAGGAAGACGAGGCTGTAGTCTAAAAATAACAGGAACAATTAGGCTCATCAGTGTGGAAACAGTGAGTTTGTTTACTGACAAGTTCCTTTTGTTTGGGTGCTGTGGGTTGTTTTGTATTTTTTCCCCCTGCTGATAGAGAACTAAATATGTGTTTGGCACACTTTTGGAAGTTTTCTCATTAGACTGTGACACCTCCCTGGAGATGAATGTTCTCAGGTTACCGGCTGTGAGCCGCTCTGCCCCTCCTGTTCTCTCTCATCCCTCCCCGCTTTTTGCAGTCATTTTCCCGCCCAGGGCTTGGATGACAGGGGAGCCTTGACAGTTTTTCCAGTGTGCAGAATTTTTTCTTTGGATTTCTCTGTGGGTATTTCTATGTAGTATTCTTTGGTTTGCATGGAACCCTGGAAACTGAGTCTGAGATTCAAGGAGAAGTGATTCATCACAGGGTACTGAAGAAAGAACTTGAGCCTCAGATGCAGACATTTAGCCTATAAGGCTTATCCCCCAAACTCCGGGCTGCTGTTGATAGAAACCCAATTTGGTTTTGAGCCTCAGGGTGCCCAGGTGATGTGGGGATCTGTCACTCCCTTGCTCTCTCTAGGCCTGCTTTCCTGTGTTGGCCTAGTGTTTCCAGGTGGTAGAAAGGACAGCTTGGAGGCTGTAGATGTGTATGGTCCTTTTACCAGGTGATCTCCGGGTATCCATGCCAGACCCTGAAAAAGGATCTGGTTCTGCTTGGTGGCTCTGCTTGGTAGGTAGCCCCCGACCTAGACAGTGCATTGAGGCCAGGTGGTGGGATTCTCTGTGCAGATCACCTAAAGCTCGGGAAGGGGGGCTGATGGAGTTGCAGAGAGGCAGTTCCCAAAAGAAAGGGATGCAAGGCAAACAAAAGATTATAGATGTCTGGTGCAGTTGCCAGGGCCAGACGTGGGACTGTTCAGCCTTCTGCCGACAGCACTGCCCTCCCAGGCTATCCTGTCAGAGCTCCCTTCTTTTCCCAGGGCTATTCTTGGTCGTCTTAATTTGAGTTTACCTGGTGATTGGGTGGGATCTGATCTCTAGGTGCATAGTGTGACTTGTTTTTGTTTAGATCCCTGGTAGGAAGTTTTGCTTTTTGGTGTTTGGATATAGAAGCCATGTTGGTGTATCATGTGGGTAATGTTCTTGGAATAGGCTAGAGTGATGGAGATTTTCAGTGGTGGGAAGGTTCAGGCTCATCGTGAAACCAAGTGATTGGGACTCCAGTGGAAGTGCCTGGTTTTAAATGGAGGAGATGACAGTTAGCTTTGGAGTGAAGGAAGCTTAACTGTTCGCTTAATTTAACAGAGTATTAGAAGTGACGTCCCTTCCCCTGACCCCCACCTTTGCTCCAAGGTGGAAAAGAGGTTTTATTAGGAAAAGAAATATTATGTATGTGGAACCTCTTGTCTTGGAGATGCTACAGGTTAAAAATAGATGTAGAAATTTGTCTCGCATTGTAAACCCACCCGAGTGGTGTGGGAAATGTAGAGATTTTAGTCATGGCCCTGGCCTGCTGAGCTTCCTGTGAAGTCTGTGCTCTTTCACCAGCTCCCTAGTGCCCCACAGCAAGGGGGGTTGGGGCTGCCTGTACCACTGAATGGTGGAGATTAGGAGACGGACTGAGAGATGTTTAGTTTAACCCCTTGCTTTATAGCCGAGCAAACCGAGGCTCAGTGAAGCATCTTGCGCATGGCTCCACAGCTAGACTAGAACCTGGGCTTCCTGACTTAGGTCAGCCTTCTTTCCTCTAAAACTTGGAGTTTTCCAACTATAGTAAACATTTTTCCCTCCTTTAATCTTTGTCTGGAAGCAATTCATGTGTTATATTTTATCCAGGAGTCTATGCATTTTACTAATTTGTAATGGTTTATTGAAAGGTGGAGGTGGCAAGTCCCCGGTACAGGGGTTCACCAGCTACTGCTCTTGTCCTTGGCAGACATCACTAGTCACCCTCTGCGGTCTCCCCTGCTGAGCCCTGTGTGGGCGCACCACGCTCTGTTCTGGGGCCAGGCAGCTGCTGCCAAGTACTCACAGGTGGGCTGCAGGGAAAACTTGTTTTTTATTTCTGTTATGGTAGACAGTGTCCTGTTTGGCTATTACTTATACCTTACCTTACTCTAAAAAGGATTTAAGGTAGATTATAAGAATATATAAAGCCTTGAAAGGAAAGAGGAAAACAAGGGCAAGGATACCTTATGTGCATTTCCTTGATAAGCCCAAGAAGTAGCCCTAAGAAATAAGCCAGTATTCTAATGCCCAGCTGGGGATATGGAAGCAGCAAACAATTACATGTGTTTATTTTGCCTCGCCTACAAATGAAAAGAGTTTTTTAATTGCTAAAGCTTTCATCATTCATCATTTTATCCTCAAAGAATTTAAACAAGTAAGTGCATTAATACATTAAGTGACGTTTGCCAGTGTCAGCTTTACACACTGTTGGCTAAGATCTCAAGGAAGTGTGGGAAAGGCTTTAATACCACCCGTTATGTGATGAACTTTCCGTTTCATTGGCTATTG